TCACTCGGTGTCTCGGAGCGGCTTACAGTCTCCTTTCCCTTCCCCTCCCCACCACAGTCACCCTGTGTGAGGCAGGTGGGGCTGAGAGAGCACTTTCGAGAACAGCTCTCAGAGAACTTTGACTGACCCCAAGGTCACCCAGCTGGCTGCATGTGGAGGAGGGGGGAATCAGACCCGGTTCCCCCAGATTAGAGTCGTGCCACTCTTAACCGCTCTACACCAAACTGGCTCTCGGAGCTGGACCCAAAGTGGCTTGCATCGTCCTTCTCCTTTTTAATCCTCACAACAACCCTGTGAGGTAGGTTAGGCTGAGAGTACGCACCTGGCCTAAGGTCACCCGGCGAGCTTCCATGGGAGATCTGGAGCTGAGTCTCCCAGAGACTAATCCAGCATTGTAACCACATTTGGAATTCCAACACAGGGCGGTGGGCACAGTTACGAAATGGCTGCCTCAGGAGGCAGAGCCAACCACAAAATGTCAGGGAGCGAGGTTGCCTATAACTCTAGTAGCACCTCTTCCACATTTCAGGCAGAAGCCCTGTTTAACAAGATGCCTTTTAATCTGCACAGCCAATCAGGAGCCCTTCTGGGCAAAGACCTGCCGCTGCCTTGCTCCACCCACTTTCTAGAAGCACTTGGCGGGTACCAGGCAAGGCATTGGCTGGCACTGTGGTGCCCATGGGCACCTTGTTGGGAACCCCCGTACCACACCACGCTGGATCTTCTCTTCTCAGATGGAATCAAAATTAACCTGGTGGCAGCCAGGAACCAGCTCACGGCAGTAGTCTGGATCGAGACTAAAATGTCTCACTCACCCAAAGCGTTTCTGTCGGCGGAGTAGAACATTCCTTCCTCCCCCCTGTCCCATCCCACAGATCTCCCCGAAATGCTGCTTGGGGGAACAGGATGCTCAGGAAGAGCATGAGAGGTACATCAGCAGCAGGAAGAGGCAATTATGCCACCGCCAGGGCATTTCAGGCAGAAGCCCTGTTTAACAAGATGCCTAGCATAATAGGCCACACCCAACAGCAGATACTTATTCGCCTATTAGGCCACACCCTTGACAGCACAGCTCATTCGCATATTAGGCCACACCCCCATGTTACCAGAAGTGTGCTCATCCAGCCACACCCACCTTTTGCTTCTTATTCTGTTTACCTTGTTTGTTGTCAAACCCCAGGGCCTTTTTTTGTAGCCAGTGTTCCCTCTAAGCTGAGTTAGTGTGAGCTAGCTCACAGTTTTTCAGCCTCCGGCTCACACATTTTTGTCTTGGCTCAAGAAGGATGGCTCCAGGGCAAACTAATTTATGCAGTAACCAAATTGCTTGCTCATAACCTTAATTGCAGTAGCTCACAAAAGTAGAATTTTTGCTGACAAGACCCTACAGCTTAGAGGGAACGTTGTTTGTAGCAGGAACTCCTTTGCATGTTAGGCCACACACCCCTAATGTAGCCAATCCTAATGAGTTTCTGCTGTTGGGTGTGACCTATTATGCTAATGAGTTCCTGCTGGGCGTGGCCAACTTGGAAGCCAGCCGGAACTCCGTTCCTGTGCGTTCCTGCCCAAAAATAGCCCTGTGCCACCCCTTTCATTAGCGTAAAATTCAGTCTGGTCCAACCCACTCTTGTGGCCAAGGTGGGAAATTCCCTTTGACACGAAGCACGTGTGATTTTGTGCCACTTCGGTTCATTCCCATGCTGCTCAAGCAAGAGAATTTCCCGGCGGACTGTGCCGTGAGGGTCACACCCGACCGTCCCGTTCTGCCGTCCTCTACGGGTACCCGCCCGCCATTGCCTTGGATGCTCAAAAAGCACCCCAGTCCTGTGAGAAACGCCGGTGGCCACAGACGGCAACAAACAGCGTGAAGGACGGTGTGATAAGGGTACAGAACGTGTGCCTCTATTAGAACGCCGTGCGTGCAGACAAGCCGGAGTGCACGCATGGTCAAAGCCGACGTGAGGGTCTTTTGTCTGGGAGGGAAGGACACAAAAAGGCCAAGCGGCTGTAATTCTCGACCGGGCTGATCTGACAGGTAACACTGCCTCCGTGGGACTGATCCGCCTCCACTGGGCCGTCTTGCCCTTTGCCTCGACGATAATTACTCTCGTGTTTTCCCGAAAAGGAAGAGAAATATCTGTAGTGCTAACGCCTCGGATAAGCGTCGAACGTAAAGCTAAATTTATGTAAAGCTCGTATTGTGTGGGGCTGTACATAGCCGCGCAGGCTGCGGCGCTTGGCGTTTTGTAGCTCGGATTGATACTTACAAAAGCTTTGAGTCTTATGAAATCTATTATCGTTCTACTCCTCTGCCTGGCATCAATTTAATGCCATGTTGCGGGCTCTGCCCGGGACGGAGGCACGACACCCACCGGCTCTGCCTAGAGGGCTTCGTTTTATCTGTATCTGATATATTAGGAAAATATGGCATTCAAGACTAGGTTCCTTATCCTTCCCAAGTTTCCTTGAGCACCTTTTGGGCTGGAAAGGTGACTGACCGGGGCTTTAAATAAATATCCAAACGACTCTGCACTGATAGAAGCGCTGGATCTCTTGGGGGGGGGGGGAAGCAGTCAGTCAGAGAAATGTTATAAGCAAATACAAGACTGACAAATGTATAAGCCAGTATAAATAGCATGACATTTCCCAGCCCTTGCTGTTTTGTCTGCAGCCGACACCGCTAATGCCCCTCTTTTTTAAGGAAGGATATTTTCCCCGTAGGCCCTCCACTGTTCTCGATTGTTTTATTAGCTTTCACATTACTGCAATCTCCCCCCTGGTTTACGACTCTGTGGGATAATGGGTCTCCGTTTTGCAGGGAGGGCTGCGGTGGTGGTGGTGGTATTATCTCGCACGATAACCAAGGAATGTTGGTTTTATAATCCAGGAGGTAACCCGCAAAGCCATCTAGTCTAGCCCGTAGCCGCTTGGTGGGGTTAGCTGCCCACCAGCTGTCAGCCCGTGCCATCTCTTACCAAGCTGTGCCACGAGCAACGAACCGTTTAATCAGTAGAGCGGGCGCGCCAGATGACTCATCCTCTGTTAATTGCAGAACAGCGTAACAGCAGTCGAGGCGCAAGATGAGGGACGGCACTTTGCAGTGCAATAGAGCAAGGGAGAGTGGTTGGGTTGCCTCTGGCAGTGATTGGCTGAGTTGCTCTGATGTCACAGAGGGGCGGCCAAGCAGACAGAAGGATTTCTGGCCGCCGTCGGATGAGGCGTTCCGAGACTAGAAAGGGGCAGGACAAGCAAAAGGGAAGGAGATAGCGAAGTTGGAACAGGGCACACTGTTGGAAGAGAGAATGGGGCAGAGGATCATAGGGGAAGAGAAAAGATCAGAAGGATGAATCCAGAAGGGAACACAGTTCCAGCCGAGAGCTGGAACAGTAAGGAGGCTTGGAGTTCGCGCTTTGTTTTAAAATAACTTGTTAAATAGTGGGTTCCAGGGCTCTTTTTGTAGAAAAAGCCCAGCAGGAACTCATTAGCATAATAGGCCACACCCAACAGCAGACACTCATTAGCATATTAGGCCGCACCCTTGACAGCACAGCATATTAGCATATTAGGCCACACCCCCACGTTGCCAGAAGTGTGGTTATCCAGCCACACCCACTTTTTGCTTCTTATTCTGTTTACCTTGTTTGTTGTCAAAACCCAGGGCTTTTCTTGTAGCAGGAACTCCTTTGCATGTTAGGCCACACACCCCTAATGTAGCCAATCCTAATGAGTTTCTGCTGTTGGGTGTGGCCTATTATGCTAATGAGCTCCTGCTGGGTGTGGCCAACTCAGGAGCCAGCCGGAACTCCGTTCCTGTGCGTTCCTGCCCAAAAAATAGCCCTGGTGGGTTCCATGGACGAGGAGACCCCAACTCTAGTGATCAGCTCTACTTTATTAGTGATTTCAGCAAGAGTTATGCCAATAAAGGTTATTGGAATTGGATTTCAGCAAGAGCAAGGCAAGACTCCGGAGCCTCAGCTCTGTTAAATAGCATGCAATTGCCACACCCAAACACACCCCACTCCCAGTGATAGGCTATTTACATAACATGACTGCTTGATTGGTTACTTTCAGAATCCTGGTAGGCTATTGTTCTTGTGCTCCAAGCTCAGCCAGTCTCTGGGGTGACAGACCTGGCATGATTCAGTCCCAATACATGACATACCCAGTCTCGTTTTTAGTGTAGGCCTTTTGCCAGGGCTTTTTTTGTAGAAAAAGCCCAGCAGGAACTCATTAGCATATTAGGCCACACCCAACAGCAGAAACACATTAGCATATTAGGCCACACCCCTGACAGCACAGCTCATTAGCATATTAGGCCATACCCCACCAGAAGTGTGGTCATCCAACCACACCCACCTTTTGCTTCTTATTATGTTTACTTTGTTGTCAAAACCCTGGGCTTTTTTTGTAGCAGGACCTCCTTTGCATGTTAGGCCACACCCCCTAATGTAGCCAATCCTAATGAGTTTCTGCTGTTGGGTGTGGCCTATTATGCTAATGAGTTCCTGCTGGGCGTGGCCAACTCAGGAGCCAGTCGGAACTCCATTCCTGTGCGTTCCTGCTCAAAAATAGCCTTGCCTTTTGCAGAAGAATTCCTCGTGGGCAATGTTTGTTTCTGTGCAAAGATACTAGTCCTCTGTGGTGCTGAGTTTCTCACATTTTTCCTCAAAGGGTCCAACTTGCTGGTAACCCAGCCTGCTTCCTGGTTATCTTTGATCGTAGGAGGCCGGCTATGGTTAGTGTTTAAGGAAACGGGACTCCGTACATGCTCAGGAGCAGTCTTTCAGCAGTGGCAGAAAAAAAAATTCCGATAGCAGCCTTGACATTCTCTGGACGGGTGATGTCAGTGCTCGAAGGGGACCTTTATGATTTTATCACTTTGCTCATTGTAAACAGCTACGCGGGTGTTGGTGTTTGGCGCCAGCGACTCCCAGTTCAATCCCTGCTGTCTTCTCCTTGCCTCCCTGCTGTGACAGTCACCCGTTGTTTTGTCTTTGCACTAGCCAGAGCTCAGGAGGTCCAAGCAGAGAACGTGACGGTGGCAGAGGGCGGCCAAGCTGAAATCAACTGCAGACTGCACCAGTACGACGGCTCCATAGTGGTGATCCAGAACCCGTCCCGCCAGATGCTCTTCTTCAACGGCACACGAGGTAACTGGGCTCCGGAGGCCGTGGGCTCCTGGGTCGGACTGGGCCAAATGGATGATGTGTGAGCCGTTGAGACGGGAGGGCGCAAAACGCCATTGATTCAATGCCCCGCCCGCCAGCGGGATCCACTGCTCAACAGCTCCCCCTACAGGTCAGCTCAGTATGCAGTCCATGCCATCATGTGCCGCAGATAGAGAGCAGGCGCCATATAAGAGGTGCTTACCGAACAAACAGCTCCGGCAAACTCAAGGGATGTGCCGTGTGCATCGAGGGATGGCCAGTGTCCGCCCACTGCAGGGTCGCTAGCCAGTCTGACCTAGAACTGACCAGTTTACTCAGTGAACATGAGAGTAATAATAATAAGAAGAGGAGATTGTATTTATACCCCGCCCTTCACTACCCGAAGGAGTCTCAGAGCGGCTTAAAATCCCCTCCCCTTCCCCTCCCCTCAATAGACACCCTGTGAGGTAGGTGGGGCTGAGAGAGCTCTCTCGAGAACTGCCCTTGAGAGAACAGCACTGAGAGAACTTGTGACTGACCCAAGGTCCCACCAGCAGCTGCATGTGGAGCAGTGGGGAATCAAACCTGGTTCTCCCAGATTAGAGTCCGCACTCCTAACCCCTACACCAAACTGGCTCTCATTCAATGAGTCCAGAGGTGGCCAGTGTTCCCTCTAAGCTGAGTTAGTGTGAGCCAGCTCACAGTTTTTTAGCCTCCAGCTCGCACATTTTTGTCTCGGCTCAGGAAGGATGGCTCCAGAGCAAACTGATTGATGCAGCAGCCAAATCGCTCGCTCACTTTAATGCCAGCAGCTCACAAAGTAGGATTTTTGCTCACGAGACTCCACAGCTTAGAGGGAGCCCTGGAGGTGGCCCCAAGATAGTTTTTGTGTTTGAGCAGGAAAGTGCAAAAAGTGCAACTGGGGTAACGCACAATACTAAACAACGCAGTTGGCTTTTTTGACATTTTTCAACAGGAACCTAGGCTCCACCCCTTAAAGGAACACCTTCAGTTTGCCTTAATGGCAGGACTGGCCTTAACTCGGGAAAGGCCACTGGATGTGACTCCAGACTACCCAGCATCCTGTCCCTAGTGGTGACAGATCGTGCTTGAGAAGGGTGATATCCTCTCCCCCCAAGATCTTGGGGAGGAGGAAGGGACCCTTTCCTCATCTCTGCAGCCCGCAGCTGGATTATCTCTTCCCCTGTCTCCGCAGCCCTTAAAGATGAGCGCTTCCAGCTGGTGGAATTCACCCAAAAGCAAGTCCGCATCGTGCTCTCCAACGCCCGCCTGGAAGACGAAGGCGGCTACTTCTGTCAGCTGTACACGGACGACACGCACCATCAGATCGCCATTCTTACCGTGCTGGGTAAGTCTTCCCTACCCTCTCCTCCACCATCATTACGCCTTCGAGTTTGGGTAGGGAGCTGAAGAGATAGGAGGTCACGGCGCCAGTTATTCACAGAGCCGGAATGGAATCGGGGACGTCTCGTTTAATCCTCCGCTGGGGCGGGGTAGGGCTGGCTCACCCACCGGCCCGGATCGCGAGCTGCCTGACACATAAAAATAGTGCATGGCAAAGAGTTCCGGTGGCAGTGAAGGAAACTGCAGCTGAAAGTGGAAAATTGGCTGAACTGCAGCCTGCACGGGGCTCAGAGTTACGGTGATGGGGAAAGCCACACTTTGAAACCTCTACCTAACCGACCCGACAGCTATTAGAAACTCAAGGGCATCCTTCTAGGGCAAGGAGTTGGCAAGCTATAAAAGCATGCCCCAGACTGGCACATTTCATAGTCTGCTTGTGGGAGCAGGGGGTGGGGGTGGGGGTGGAGAGAATCCAAATCCTGCATTAAGCGTATGTAGGTACTTGGGATTAATTATCAAAATTAGGCAACTGTGGGCCTGGTGTCCGTGACTTATTCTTCTGGGTGGAGTGAGGGGACGACAAGCTATGCTGAGCCCTGAAACCTCAATCCCTGGCCACATTTTCCGCCTGAAGTTTTTGGCTTTTCGGCCTGTCCTTCCAACTTGAGGGCTACAACCTTAACAAAGCAAAGGAGAGGAATTCCCAGCATGCTTTGCTGCAGCAATACCGCAGAAACATGGAACACACGTAGAGCCGTACCTGAACACCTCTCCGCCAATGATAGTTCAGCCCCTCGGTCGGAGGATTATGACAGCTGAGGGTGATTTGGTGTCTGTGTGAATGAAGCTGCCCTGGATATTGCAGGAGAACATCCCGGTTGCCTGCCCGATAACCCTGCCGCTGTTCCTTACAGTGCCACCAGAGAACCCCTTGGTGGAGGTGAAGGAACAGGCCGTGGAAGGAGGAGAAGTAGAACTCACCTGCATCGTTCCGAGGTCGCGTCCTGCCGCGACCCTGCGCTGGTACCGTGACCGAACGTTGATACCAGGTATAAATTAGGGGCGGGGGGCCCCCCTCCGAGGACGTCTCTTCCTGTGGAAGTCTAGACCAATTGGGCATTTGTTAGCTCAGTCGCTGAGGGCTCAAAAATACACTCATTCGCTTACTTCTGCGCTGAGGGGGCTTCCCCCCTGCCTTGTCACCCAAACGGATGTGCTTCTTTATTTTCTTACTTCCATATGATATTGTTTTGTCAGCATCCTGTGTCTCCAGGTTTCCCCCATCTTCATTAGTTGTTTTTGGGAAGAACGCAGTCTGAGCATGTTAGCATGCCATCTGGACAGAATGGTTTGCATTTCCCTGACCTGCAAACGTCTCACCCAAGGGTCCAGGCTGCCATGGTGCCTGCCAGCACCTTTCCTGGAGCCTGCTAAATGTGTTTAGAAAGTGGGCGGGGACAGGTGGGGTTTTCAGCCCAGCAAAGCTCCGGATTGACCACTGGAGATTTGATTGGCTGTGCAGGTTTTTAAAAACATCGCTTTGCTAGCAGCTTCCGCTACAGCACAAAGATCTTCACTGTGTGACTGAAGGTAAGCTGTGGCGGCCATTTTGTGTCTGGCTCTGCCTCCCCTGGCAGCCATTTTGTGTCTGGCTCTGCCTGCCCTGGCAGCCATTTCGTGTCTGGCTCCGCCTGCCCTGGCAGCCATTTTGTGTCTGGCTCCGCCTGCCCTGGCGGCCATTTCGTGGTTGCGCCCACCATGCTGTGTCTGAATTCCAAAGGTACCCGCACGGTTAAAAGGTTTGGGGACCCCAGGCCTCAACCATACTGGTGCCACTTTCCCTGTATTCAGCCCTTCATGGGGGCCATCTTCCCAGCTCCTCTGCCCGCCACCATACAACTGGAGGTCTTTCTGAAGGCCTTTAAAAATACCCTGGCAGTTGAGCTCTGCCCTGGATAGCTCAGGCTACCTCGATCTTGTCAGATCTCGGAAGCTAAGCAGGGCCGACCCTGGCAAGCATTTGGATGGGGGACCTCCAAGGAATACCAGGGCCGGGAGGCAGACAATGTTGCCTCTAAGGTGAGTTGGTGTGAGCTAGCTCACAGTTTTTTAGCCTCTGGATCACACATATTTGTCTTAGCTCAGGAAGGAGGGCTCCAGAGCAAACTAATTTATGCCGCAGCCAAATTGCTCATTCACAATTTTAATGCCAGTAGCTCACAAAGTAGGATTTTTGCTCACAAGACTCCACAGTTTAGAGGGGAGCATTGGGTGCAGGGGCAGGCAATAGCAAGTCACCTCTCTGAAACATCCAAGGCTCACTAGGGGTCACCAGAAGTCAACCATGACTTCCAGGCACACACAAAGAAGAAGAGGAGGAGGAGACTGGATTTATATCCCGCCCTTTACTTGGAGTCTCGAAGCAGTTTACAATCTGCCTCCCTTCCCCTCCGCACAACAGACACCCTGTGAGGTAGGTGGGGCTGAGAGAGCTCTCAGAGAACTGCTCGAGAGAACAGCTCTGTGAGAACTGTGGCTGACCCAAGGTCACCCAGCAGCTGCATGTGGAGGAGTGGGGAATCTCTCTCTCTCACACACACATGCACACAAATACAAAAAAAAAAGGAAAACCCTGGCAGTTGCTATAGAGCTACAGCAATCTACTGCCACACCTATTTTAAATCTTAATAGAATCATTGTAGTGCTATAACACTTGCGTGACCAAAGGAACCAAAAAGAGGGGGCGGCCGTGATGAGTACACCCCCCTGAGCCAATGCAGAGTCACTGCAGAGCACACGTGGAAGGGAAAATTGGTACGAAAAGGTGGAAGACTGTGTTGGAAACTCTGTTGCCACTGTGCCACACCTCCACGCTCACAGCCACGAAGCCTCGCTCTGCGGAAGCCGTCGGGAGGCTTGAATTGCGGAAGGGCTCTGGCTTGTTGGGGAGAACACGTGCTTGGCTCACAAAAGTTCCCAGGTTCCATCGCCAACAACTCTATTTTTTGCAGGGCTTTTTTTGTAGAAAAAGCCCAGCAGGAACTCATTAGCATAATAGGCCATACCCAACAGCAGGAACTCATTAGCACATTAGGCCACACCCCTGACAGCACAGCTCATTCGCATATTAGGCCACACCCCCATGTTACCAGAAGTGTAGTCATCCAGCCACACCCACCTTTTGCTTCTTATTCTCTTCACCTTGTCAAAACCCAGGGCTTTTTTTTTTGGAGCAGGAGCTCCTTTGCATGTTAGGCCACACCCCCTAATTGTAGCCAATACTAATGAGTTCCTGCTGTTGGGTGTGGCCTATTATGTTAATGAGTTCCTGCTGGGCGTGGCCAACTCGGGAGCCAGTCGGAACTCCGTTCCTGTGCGTTCCTGCCCAAAAATAGCCCTGATTTTATGGATCTAAAGTAGCAGGTTTGCCTGGGATCCCCGACAGCTGCTTCTTGTCAGAGGAAGAAATACTGACGGGTGAAATGGCTGCTCAGACTTTGCATAAGCTGGCTCCACGCGTTCGGACGTCTTCGTGGTTTCAGCCCGGCGCCGGGGGGGATGCCTGCCAGGGAGAGTTGCCGGCTCCAAAAGTGTGGGATGGCTGCGGCTGCATCCATATGCCTCTTTGCCATAGACACAGAGCGCTCTACTAGCCTCCCCTCCTACTCTTTTTCTCTCCCCCCACGCGGAGAATCCTTAAAATAGAAGGTTAGCATCAGTTCGCCTTAAAGCAGCCGCTCCGTTTCAGGAGCCTGGAGCGCAGAAGTCCCCAAATTGCGGAGGGAGTTGATCTCGATATTCCTGACCGCAGCAAAGACAGTCATAGCCAACAGCTAACTGGAAGGATAAAAAAGTCCCGTCCCTCACTCAATGGTTTGCTAAACTATGGGAATTCTATTCTATGGACAAGCTGTCAGACAAGGTCTCGTCCTTTAATACCAATACCTGTGGTAGTAATTTTCAATTAAAATGGTTTCCATTCTTGGAATATGTCTTTAGCAACGATATGCCCCCAAACTATAATGTACCAGGTAAATTCTACGATGTTCTACATTTTATGTAACTCTGTTTAAGAACATACTGTTTAAAGGGCAGCTTGCCGTGTATCTCTTTTTATGTCTATGTTTACTTTCTATTGTATTATCGTAGCTGAGTTATAGTTCACTCTGTATTTGACTATGAAGTAAAATAAAATTATATATTTAAAAAAAACCAAGGGAAAAACTAGCACCACAGAGGTCCCAGATATCCAAATCCCGCTAGGAGGAAACCCATCAGAAATTGCCAAAATATAAACTGTATTTAACAAATATAAAGTTGGTGGTGTCACAACAAGAGAATTTAATGTGTACTATAACTCTAATAGGCAATGCTGCGGTGGCTCAAATGGTTAAGACGCTGAACTGCAGGCTGTGGAAGGTCGGTAGTTCAGCAGTTCGAGACCCGAGTTGCCACATGACGGAGTGAGCTCCCGTCTCTAGTTCCAGCTCCTGCCAACCTAGCCGTTCGAAAGCAAGAAATTGCAAGTAGATAAATAGGTACCACTTCAGTGGGAAGGTAACAGCGTTCCGTGCGCCTTGGTGTTTAGTCATGCCGGCCACATGACCACGGAAACGTCTTTGGACAGCGCTGGCTCTTCGGCTTTGAAATGGAGATGAGCACCGCAACCCTAGAGTCGGACTCGACTGGCTTTCGAGCAAGGGAACCTTTACCTTTATAACTCTAATAAGGCATAAGATGTAATGTTTCCTCCTTAGAAGATAAGGTGTTAAGACTATGTGGACTCCTCCTGTCAAGTTCCACTGATTACATGGACTTTACGTCTTCTAACCAACCGTGTTTCCACGTTGCATCTTATGCCTTATTAGAGTTACAGTGTGCATTAAATTTTGTTGTTGTGACACCACCAACTTTATATTTCTGATGGGGTTTCTCCCAGCAGAATTTGGATAACTGAAGCTCAGAAGTGGCTTCACCCGGTACTTTTCGGCTGCAAGGATCAAGATTGCAAACGGGCGTCGGAAGGAAACGCGGGCAACGTTCTAATCCTTCCCACATCCTGTGGTCGCGTTACCGTTGTATGTAATTCGCCAGGTGGGAATAAAAAACCCATAACGACCACAATTGTACCACCATAAGCCGGGTTTCCAGACTCTGTTTTCATAGGGGATGTACAATGTTCCCTCTAAGCTGTGGAGTCTTGTGAGCAAAAATTCTACTTTGTGAGCTGCTGGCGTTAAAGTTGTGAGCGAGCGATTTGGCTGCTGCCTGAATTAGTTTGCTCTGGAGCAGTGTTCCCTCTAAGCTGAGTTAGTGTGAGCTAGCTCACAGTCTTTTAGCCTCCGGCTCACACATGTTTGTCTTAGCTCAGGGAGGATGGCTCTAGAGCAAACCAATTTATGCTGTAGCCAAATCGCTCGCTTGCAACTTTAATGCCAGTAGCTCACAAAGTAGAATTTTTGCTCACAAGACTCCACAGCTTAGAGGGAGCATTGCTCTGGAGCCATCCTTCTGGAGATAAGACAAAAATGTGAGAGCCGGAGGCTAGAAGACTGTGGGCTAGCTCACACTAACCCAGCTTAGAGGGAACACTGGTGGCAAACACTTGCTAGGATTGACTGGGACTTGTTTGTGTGTGTGTTTTTTGTCCAGGCATCAGCAGCAAACAAGAAAATGGGAAAGTGTTCAGTATTACCAACGTGCTGCATTTTCGGGTGGAACGTAAGGACCACGGCAGCATTGTGACCTGTGAGGCCACCCACCCTGCGCTGCGGGGGCAGCAGAAGCAGACGCAGTACGTGCTAGATGTACAGTGTAAGTGACAGCCGGGGTCGGGCTGGTTGGGCGGGAGCTGGAAGGTTGGGATGGAGAGCACGGACTGTGTTGTATGTTTTTCTCCCCTCTGGATAGCGGCGTACAATGGGGCAGCTGAAGATTGCCAAGGTCTAGGCCAGGGGTGTCAAACATAAAGGCACGGGGGCCGGAACCGGCCCATCCAGCGCTCCTATGTGGCCCACGAGCAACTAGTGCAAGGGAGGGAAGAGGAGGTTGCTCGGGGGGAAGTGGGCGGAGCCACTCCAATTGTGGCTTCAGCATGGCGGAACAACCTCGTCTGCAGCAGCCAAGTAGTGCGGGAGTATCTGCCCAGTGCTGCTCTGCTGGCTCGCTAGTCCGCCCATATTGGTTTTCTTTTGCACTCCGCTCATAGCCCATGAGGCCTTGCAGTAAGGATACAACAACTCATAGCTTACCAGCTGCTGTCCTTTCTACAGTTTATATCTACGGTACCTGGCATTACATTTTATGGCACATATGGCCTGGCCCAACAAAGTAACATTTATTTCAGATCCAGCCCTCGTAGCAAATGAGTTCGACACCTCTGGTCTAGGCCCTTGAGTTAAACCCAGCTCCGCAGAGAGTGGTACTAATTTGGGAGTCCAGGTGCTGAACCAGAAGCAAAAAAGGAGAGGGAACAGGCCCGATCAGCGGACCACTTGGCAGAGTTTGGAGGCGCTTGTTCGTCACCCCTTCCCTGCACTCCACAAAATGGATCTCTCACAAAGTCTGTTGTGGCCCAGAAATAAAGTTGCTGTTTGCCCGCTTCCAGCAGGAAAATCCCTCTCTGAAGCCATGACCTTCACCGTGAGACATCAAGGAGCGAGAGAGAAAAATGACGACGGCACTCTAGGAGTTCACCTCCTATTCTCTATGGTAAAGACCATAGAGTCTGGAGGCCTAGCAAGAGTGCCACCCTTTTAAAAGTCTTTAAAAGACGTGATCTGCACACTGAGAGAAGGAGGTGAATAATTTCATTTTGCCAGTAGGAATGAGGTGTAAATTTTTGAACGATGCTTTGTGTAAAAAAAAAGCAACAATAAAAATCTGTGCAATAAATTAAGATGTTATTTAGAAGATTTAACATAATCATCTCTCTCCAGTGTTTCAGGGGGCAGCTGTATTGGGCTGCAGTAAGAGACCAACAAGAATTTTTGGAATATAGGCTTTCGAGAATCAAAGTTCCCTGAAATTTTTGTTGTTCTCTCCGGTGTGTTCATGTGCTACATACAAGAAAGGTTTTAGTAGGAAGAGAATTTTTTTAAAAAATCACATACAACTCCCCAACACAGACAGTTTGTGGAGAGGTCCAAAATTCTTCCACATCATTTTGGTGAATATGTAGATTGGTTCTCTGCAGAGGTCATTTCGGGGGGGATCGCGGGGGATCGCAGTTCCCCTGGGTGAGGTGCGGGGGGCGGGGCACATGACGAAGCCTCGCCCCCTGCTTCCGGCTGCCCCGCTTCCAGCCCTCATTTAGCCAGGAAGAGGCAGGAGAAGAGGGAGGGTAAGTTGCTTCCTCCCCCCCTCTCCCCACCCCTGCCGGCCTTGCAGAACCACCGTCGGGCCCCTGATGTCAGGGGGTGTGGTATATGCTAATGAGTTATGCTAATTAGTTCCCCTAGCTCTTTTTCTACGAAATGACCCCTGGTTCTCTGTATGGATCAGGATGAGGCTGTAGACTGGACCGCTTCAGACTGCAGTGAGAGATCCCATTTCTTTATTATAAAATTGTTTATATTTGGTTTTTGAATGCAAGCCAATTGCGAGTTACATTCCCCAAAGGCCTTGGACCTCTTATAAATTTAGAGGGCCAGTTAACACTCTTCAAAATTTCTGCGAGACAGAGAGAAATAAAAAAAACAGCGAAAACCATTATTGCTATGTTAGCAGCTATTATGCCATAAATGTTTACCAATCAATTGTGTTCATTAAAGTGTTACCTTAATTATTACTTAGAAGGGGAGAATTTTTTCTCTCTCTATTTAGTGGATTCAACGATAATTATTACTTATGATTTTTTTAAACATTCCCCTGTGTGAAAACCCCCAAGGTAGGGTTGCCAGCCCTCCCAGAATTACAGCGCATCTCCAGACTATGGAGATCAGTTCCCCTGGAGAAAATGGCTGCTTTGGAAGGTGGGCTGTGGGCCATTATACCCTGCTGAGCTTCCACTCCCCCCAGACTCCACCCCCCAAATCTCCAGGAATTTCCCAACCTGGAACTGGCAAACCTAACCTTATAAGAACATAAGAAGAGCCCTGCTGTATCAGACCAGTGGTCCATCTATTCCAGCATCCTGTCTCACACAGTGGCCAACCAGTTCCTCTGAAGGTCCAACAACAGGGCATAGAGGCCGAGGCCTTCATAAGAACATAAGAAGAGCCCTGCTGGATCCGACCAATGGTCCGTCTAGTCCAGCATCCTGTCTCACACAGTGGCCAACCAGTTCCTCTGGAGGGCCAACCACAGGGCATAGAGGCTGAAGCCTTCATAAGAACATCAGAAGAGCCCTGCTGGATCAGACCAGTGGTCCATCTACTCCAGCATCATGTCTCACACAGCAGCCAACCAGTTCCTCTTGACAACCAACAACAGGGCATGGAGGCCTTCCCCTGATAAGAACATCAGTAGGCCCTGCTGGATCAGACCGGTGGTCCCTCTAGTCCAGCATCCTGTCTCACACAGTGGCCAACCAGTTCCTCTGGAGGGCCAACCACACGGCAGAGAGGCTGAGGCCTTCATAAGAACATCAGAAGGGCCCTGCTGGATCAGACTGGTGGACCAATAGTCCATCTAGTCCATCTAGTCCAGCATCCTGTCTCACACAGTGGCCAGCCAGTTCCTCCGGAGGTCCAGCATAGGGTTGCCACTGGTCTGTCAGACCCACAAGTGGGGGGACGGAGGGAGCGTTCCGGGAGCGGGAAGTAACATTCCCGGAAATAAACATGACGTGCCTATGTCACCCGGAAGTGATGGAGGCACATTGGTGACGTTGGGGGCAATGTTCTGGTTTTGGGGCAAAACTCTATGGTGAGATTGGCTTCAAACTATAGTAAAAGTAAAAGTAAAGGTTCCCTTGCTTGAAAGCCAGTCGAATCCGACTCTAGGGTTGCGGTGCTCATCTCCGTTTCCAAGCCGAAGAGCCAGCGCTGTCCGAAGACGTTTCCGTGGTCATGTGGCCGGCATGACTAAACACCAAGGCGCACGGAACGCTGTTACCAAACCATAGAGTTTTGCGCAAAAACCAGAGCGTCCCCCTTGATGTCATCAATGTGCCTATGTCACTTCCAAGTGACATAGGCACATCACCTTCACATCACGTTTACTTCCTGCTTCTTTCCTCCCTGCTTCCTGTAAGTTGTGTTTATTTCTGGCTTGTGGGGGGGGGGGTCTGATGTCCCTCCCCCCCACTTTCTGTTAGCCCTGAAGCAGGGGGAGGGGCTCCAAACCAGGGGATCCCCCGCCCCCAACTGGGCACTGGCAACCCTAGTCCAGCAGCAGGGCATAGAGGCCGAGGCCTTCCCCTGATGTTGCCTCCTGGCTCTGGGATTCAGAGGATCAGTGCCTCTGAACGTGGAGGTTTCCCCTCAGGTTCCCCATGTAAGCATACTGGGGAGACAGGTTTTAACTCAGACTTCTCTGTAAATTTGTTTGCTTTTTTAAACTTGGGCTTTTTTTTTGTAACACGGAGTTTCGTTCAAAAATGTGATCACGCACTCGCGCTCCAAGGTGGTTATAAGGTGCCGTTTTGTGGCCTGTTTTGGACAAGGCCACAGTCTAAGCAACGACGATTGAAAATGGGGGGCCGTCGCAAGGTCCCCGTCTATGAGAGGACATATACAGACCCCCTTAGCAACATTCCCATTTATGTAGCAAGGAAGGATTCTGTGACATAAGCAGGGCTTTTTGGGTCAAAAAAGCCCAACAGGAACTCATTAGCATAATAGGCCACACCCAACAGCAGAAACTCATTAGCATATTAAGCCACACCCCTGACACCATAGCTTATTAGCATATTAGGCCACACCCATGCCTTCCCTTGGCTTGCCCAGGCACCCCACGGCAAGCCGGCCCTTGGACAGGTGATCCTTCCAGGCCCCCCCCCCTTCTGGACCGCCCGCCTCGGAGTCGCTGGGGGGGGGGGGGCTTCTTCAGGCCCTCACTCTCTATCC